AGGATCCAGACCTGTTACAGGTGTTAGTGATATCAGACTTTGGGATATTAATTTTACTACACTTCCTAACTGAAGCTATTGATTGCTGCTAACATATTGGTTCAGATTACATTGGGATAAGTTTAGTTATGCAATGTGAAGTTTTTATTCCTGACACCTTGACAATGAGACCCTTGGAATCCACCAGTCCAGATCTTTTCAGACACTCTATCCTTAGCGCAAGGTCCCTCTTCTCCATGGCCATGTGATCAGCTCTGCAATCCCCATCGCTGCCGGGAAGACAAAGGGAAGGATCAAGAGGAAAGTGCATCTGAGGGTTTTTATTAGATCACCTTGTGCGCATGGTGTTAGGAGGTGACCCATTCTTTTAGAATTGAGATTTGCAAATATCTAATATGAACTCTTATGGTCAGTCTTGCTATAAAGTGTGATGGTAAATACCTCCCCTGCTCCTTGGAACACAATGGTATGTCACACACTTTTGCTTCTTAGTGATTGCGGAGGAGCGGCCAGAAGTCCAGCTTACTGCCACAGCAGCAGTAACCTGAGAGTATATACAGAGCACACACTTAATATACTCTTACTGACATTCTTCATAAGTTCTGTGACACACATGTTACTGCTGTATGTTCAAGAGTGATAGAGAACAGTGATTAATGAAACTAAATAAGTAAGATCGATGAAAGACCAGTTAGAGTAAAAATCTGATGTTTCCTTGCTGTATGGCAAATAATACAAAATAAATTAACAAATAAAACATAAAGCAACTTCATCTACATAGTATGGCACACATTTGAATAATTGCATATTAACCTCATAACACCATGGCAAACTTATGTATTTATTATATTTGTTTTTTTGTTAATCTTTTAAGCCTTATGTAAAAAATGCCTAAATAACATACACAATCAATCAGGAATATATGCCTTGTAGAAATGTTTTGAGAAAAATAAAAAGCTGAATCCCCCATTTATCATAACAGTATGATATCCATATATGTATATAAGGATATGAGACAATGGCCATTAATGGCCATCTGTGCGTGTGTGAGTGTGAGTGTGTGTCGTTTTGTTACCTTGAATGTCATCGTTGAACGTGCAGTACTTGTTGCGGTACTTGCTCAGCAGACGGAAGGCATTAACATTTGCAAAGTCCTCAAATTGAATCAAACAGTCCATTCCATACCTGTAAGAAGACAGAAACAAATAAATAAAGGATATAAGTGAGCTATTTTCTTAATTTTTCAAAGTGACTGGACTTTTGATAGTTTTCTGGACACTCAAACACACACATAAACACATGTAGAAAGAGAGCTGTCTCCACTTTTAAAAAAAAACTGTATTGCAGTCCTGAGGGGGGCGCTCTCTAACCACATAACACATCACAGGGTGAGAAATTAAGAAATGTGATGCTGGCTTCTCAGTGGAAAACATTTTTAACAATGTATTTTATTCAGATTTCTTGAAGTTGAATTTAAATATTTCAAGATATTGAGAGGAAAACTCTTGAGTGAGACTTCATGCTTAATTTAAAGTCACATAACTTGTTCTTGTTAAATGGGCATTTGACAAGCTGACACCTGTTTCCCCCACATTTACAAAGGGAGGATAAACCTACATAAAGGAGTAGAATAACATGAGAAAAGAAAAGACTGCAGTGCCCACCCAGTAAAGCAGCCATGCTCAATTTAACAAGATGCTGCTGAGACCACCTATCACAGTCAATACTGTGCCAATAAGCTCCTACAAAAACATTGTGCAACAAAAATAAGCTTTAAGGTCAGCATTATGGGTCTTTAAATTAGATTTAGCAGCGGCAGAGAGGAATCCAGAGTTCCCATGCCTGTCAACATATGGGACTTTAGTTCAGGAATTTACTGGATGTTTTCAAAGGGACTGCTGCTGCTTTCCAACATGAGAGACAGGGGTTCAGCTGCAGGAAAAGCAAAGTACTACCTAGTGTAGGTGTACAGGACATACATATGTCTTTAAGCTAATAGCAGATAGATCTAAAATATGTCATTTCATTATTTAAAAAGATACATTTAGAGTGGCTATTACTACAGTAAAAATATAGTCTTAATTATTTTTGTTAAAGTCAGCATTAAATACCAATTTGCCAATATTTTAAACTTTCGCAGCCTCAGCTCTAGCTACCTAGCTAAGTTAGCAACGTTAGTTTTATGATCTTAGAAAAGGCTTTTACTCGAAGGATTGATTAGCATGTTAGCTAAGGTAACAATATCTAAGATAGCAAGTTGCTGCTGAAGTTATATCTTTTGCAAATCCACAAAAGTTAAATTCTGGTGGTAGAACTGGCTTCCGAGTGGGGAAACACTACAACAGTGGATGTGCTTTGTTAAATGTTAATCTTTTCATATTACCCAAAACTTCACCAAATGTAGTTAGCTCATGAAATGCTAATTGGAAATAATGCTGATTCAGGTTGGACTTGCTAAAGTTTGCGGTTAATGTTAGAGCAGATAACTATTCTGTATTATCCATTGCTAACACTTTTGCTCCTGATATTCGCTCCCAAAGATTAAAATAAAAACACCATCCACAAAGCTCTTGCAATACCAACCTGATCTCACCAGAATGCGTGACTCCACCACGACTCCTTGGCCGACACGTAAATGTAACAAATGTCGTGACTCCACCACGCAATGCAGTGTTAAAAGGAGTCGTGGTGGAGTCACGCATTCTGGTGAGATCAGGTTGTGCAATACTGTGCATTGCTCCTACAGAGCGCTGCAGGGATGACATGTTTTTGAAGCTAACATGGAAGCTAGCATAGCCCTAGTTCTCTTGTTAATTGTACTTTTCCATATGGTTTTGATTACTGCAGAAAATAACATCTGTGGCAAACAATGAACGAACATGAACAACCTTTCAGCGCACAAACTTGACACACCTGCTCTCTCTAGTTAAATGAGCTAAGCGGTGATTGGACAATCACTGTTTGGGGAGGGGTTCCTCAAATGTGGGTTGAAAGGATTGGTTTTAAGATTTTCTGTTTGAGGAAAACCCTTGCAACTGAGGACTTTACAGTACAATAACTACATTAAAGCTGTCTCAAGGATGTGACCGTATAGATTAGAAACAATGAGAGGAAAGGGTGAGGTCTGTCTGTCTGTCTGTCTGTCTGTCTGTCTGTCTGTATTAAAAACTACAGTACAGGGATCATATTTCAGTGAGTGAAAGAAATTGAGGACGGGCCAAGCAAACAGGCCGAGGCGGCACGAAACCCCCCAACACCTGCAGCCCTGTCAACAGGGGGGAGGTTTGAAGTTCTTCCTTAACTCTGTTTTACTCTATTTCTCCATTCTGTATTTTAATTGTCTTTGTCTTTTCATAAAACCCTGCCTCATACCTCATAAGGCAAAGGATCCTCGTTTGCACTGATGTCGTAAAATTCACTAAAGCTTTTTCCCACTTGCTACAGTTGCTGCTAAACTGCTTAAACTTTCAGCAGGGGGATGAAATTGAGCGGAAGCGGGACAAGAAAGAAATGCAGGATGAGAAGCGACTAGAGCTGTGTTCAAATGCAATAAAACTGTCCATCGCTGGGTCAATGTTTCCTTCCCTCTGCCACTCTGCAAGACACTGGTTCCTCATGCAGAGATTGATAGCCCAGCTGACTAACTGCCAACACGGCAGTAGTGCTGAATAGAGAAATGTGTTTCCTATCAAGCAGAGAGTATTACTAAAGCAGGGAGAGCTTGTGCGAAGAGGAGGAATAATGAGGCCAAGTAGGGAGCTATAAACTTTCATTGTGTTGAGGCTTTTGGAGACAGAGACATGCGACATAGATGTAGCCTCTGCCAGTGCAGCGCCCTCTGGCATGGTTTTGATGCAATGACTACTGGAGAGGTCACACCAGTTCACAAAAAATCAAGCTGCCTATACTGTAGGAAGAGTTCTGGAAGTTAAGTTCTCAGTAGATGTTGAGACGTACTCACACAATGCAAGTATTCTGACTAAAGTCAAAGAACTGTGTTGTAATGTTTCGAATAATTTCCCCGGTGCGGGACAAATAAACGATTTCTTATTCTGAAAAAGTGGTCTTTTAGACATTTAATTCTATGTATTACTTTAAAATCATAGCCCAGAAAGGCCAGATGCTGCTGAGAAAAGGCTGAGCTGTGAACACAGGCATATTTATGGGCACCCACTGACCATAAACTACAGATCTGTGGTTGTGGTACCGTGCAGAAAGAAAGGAGCATCTTCCCAATGCAGAAAGCTCTTTAGATCCATAAGAGCCACAAAGATAGGGGGTGAGCTTTTGACAATGTGTGTGTGTGTTTTTGTGTGCTTTCCCTTAAAGATCCCATGTCATGGCCATTTCTACTGATCATAATTCCATTGTTTAGGTATACTAGAACAGATTTATATTGTGCAATTTTCCAAACTCACATTGGTTTCTCATACAGCATCTCTGTATAGTATGTGTATTCACTCTGTCCTAAACGGCTTGTTGGAGCTCCTGCCCCCCCCTCCCTGTGAGCCCACTGTGCTCTGATTGGTCAGCTCGCCCACTCTGTTCTGATGAGTCTACCACCGTTACAGCTGAACACCAGTGATTATGTTTTACAATGGCGTTTGTTAGCAACCAGAAAATGACACCAGTAATGACAAACAGATGAGAATGCTGCGTGGGGTCTGGGTGCCGTGTTGGCGGGACGTTGCACGGCTCGATGCTGTGAGGAGCGGACAGTGTGAGCTGGGTTCATTTCCTGCTTTCTGCGTGGGATCTGCGAGACAGCGAGACATCGCAAATGGACGCGGGAAGGGGGGGATTCTGAAGGGGCTGCAGCACCCCCATCTGCGAGGCTCCACTAGCACCCCCAAACGCGGCGCACCTACAGTGTAAGCGCGCCACTAGCAACCCCCCCTACAGCGCGTCAAAGTTTGGCCGCTGAGAGAGTGTGTGTGTGTGAGGATCTCCACGGATTGGGTATGGGCACGTCACTGTACCCAGGAAGAAAACAATGGAAAAAGAGAAATCTCCAACGAGGCGTTCTGGGGAAGCCTAGACAGGTCTTTTCTGAGTTTTACTCGCCAGGGTGTACTTTGAGGGTTTGTGACTGCAGACCGTTTACATGCAGAAAAAGCTTCATAACAAACAAGGGGACGGGTAATAACCGGAAAAGCATGACATGGGACCTTTAAACAAAGCTCGTCTTGGAGGCCATTTGTGTCGTTGTTGTCCCTGTTCTGCCCGACAATCTGTTGTCTTTCCTTGGCGACCCTCTAAATGGAACGCCAACATCTGACAATGCACCTTTTTGCCTGCTAAATAATGGGAATAATTGTTACTAAGTAACAGCACAGGAAGACGGAAAAACATGTAGAAGGGTGCCAAATCATTACTTCAGTTGATAACATTGTAAAAAATATTTAAATATGAATGACTTATTATTATGGTGCGCATTAACTATTTAGCTGGCAAACCACACATTTGGCATTTTGAGGAGTGTTGTAACTTTGTGGCTATAAAATAACTATGCGTTGCCTATGTTTTTAAAATGATGTTAAAAATACTGGCAAATAGTAATCTAGGTTGTGGTCAATGGATCCATCAAATATTCTATTATCTATTATTATTTATCTCTAGGTGTGCCCATAGTAGGTTTTGACTTATTTTCAATATGTAACTAATATTGATAGAAAATAAGAAAGGTACTGCTGTTGTTATAACTTTGAACTCAAAGCAGAGATCACGACTTGTTGAACTCCAATCCCAAAACAGGGACTTCGTTCCAACTCTCATGACTGTTCTGAAAAAAAGGTGTATTCCTGCTATTTAGATTTGGAAATGAGATGACTTTCCGTCTCTTTTGCCAGCGCATTGTCAACAGCAGAGTCTGTTCAGTGACTTTCTGAGACCAAAAGGGGCCTGGTGGGAAAGAGTTTGCATCTGTCACTAGGATGAACCTGTCCACTCCTGCTTAAGCGTGTACAACTGAGTAAAAACTTTGTTCCTGCTCAGATGACTCCCAGTGTGTGCAGGTATAACACAAAAGTCCTTGGTTCTTCCCTTGACAGTGAATCTAACCAAAGGTTTCTCACACAGCTTGTGGTTAGTGTGTCCTTTACGACTGCATGCAGTAGTTTTGAGGGATGGAATGTTTCTCCATAACAAGTGGCTATAATCAATAGCAACAGTGCATCACATGACTTCTTTTAAAACAGTCTTGTGTGTCGCATAAGGTAGTTTTAACTGTAGCTGTTCGCAATAAAAACAGCTCTATAAACACATTGTGCTCAACCTGCTCTGCACAAAACAGCTGACATGCAAAATAACAACTATAGAACATAGTGGAGGCTTTAGCATGTTAACACCTTCATATTTTTAAAGAAGAAAAAAACATATCCAAAAGAACGGTTTGATATGGATTATGGCAGGCAGAGAACTTTATGAATATTTTAATAAGCTAATGTTTTTTACATTTACAAATGCACAAAACCCTAAATAACACACTACAGGAAAGGTAAAAGCCCCTAAAAGGATATTAGGGCCCCTCTAAGCCTTGATTCACTTTTTTTTCAAATAGTATGCATCTTTTTTTAAATCTAAAAAGGTACTACATGTAACAACATAAATGTACTAATCACGTTGTACAGCCAATTTGTGAACAGTTTAACTTGACCTAAAAATGTAGATCTTCCCAAACATTCTTGTTTGCCTATAGCCATGGAATGATTTATATCTAAAGGTTATTGAATGATTTAACCTTGAAAACTTCAAAAGTAAATTACATTTACAGTATATCAGCTCCTACTGTAAGTGGCAGACTAGACACTTGCAGAGGAGACGCTAACCGTTCCTGCCATGGCGCTGTTTAAGCTATCTGGAGTCATGCTAGCAGCACCACACATAGCTGCTTTGTGCTTCAAATATTTTATTATGCTATGATATATGTTGGCCACTGTTAGCGGGTAGCAGAATGAACAAAACACACCTAGACGTATTGTTTTCTGGAGTAAAACTTTCAGGTATGTTTTTCAACTTACTGCATATAATATATTGGGAATAAATGCCTGTAATTTTTATTAATGTAAGATAGAATGAATAAGAATACGATACATGAGCCGCTCTCCCAGGTGACGTATCAATCAGACTTTGGTGTTATGTCTGGGTCAAACTGGGGGACAGGGGAGTTAACTTGTGCCCCAGCTCCTTCATGTAACACAATAGGGATTCAGCTGAGACCTGATGAAATCTGAATCTCCAGCTAATAGGACGTAGGTGGATGTCATACATACTTATATGGTGGGGTGGGGGCTAGGAGAACAGAGGAAGAGTGATTCCTTTAGTCGGAGTCAGGAGGATGTCTATAAAGAAGGTCACATACAAGGGTGCTTTGTCCAAACACAGCTGTTCAACTCGTGTGCATGTATGCAGGTACACACACACACACACACACACACACACACACACACACACACACACACACACACACACACACACACACACACACACACACACACACACACACACACACACCTACTCTCTGGCCTTCTAGTCAGAGCGGAGTATGATACCTAACTATTCCCTGTGTTTTTGTTTTTTATATTATATTGTTTTTATTAAATGTACAGCACTTTGGCTCCACCAAAAATCGTTTTTAAATGTGCTGTATAAATAAAACTTGATTGGATTTGATTTGATAAAGAACTGTAGCGGATACAACCCGTTTCATCTCCGTGTTGACGGGGCCTTACAGTACAGCACAGTTTTTCCTGGTAATTTCTACTTGTGTGTAATTTTCACTTCCAGCACATTCCTTCTATTTCAGAAAGCTCTGCTGAGCCTTATGAAATGGGACTGTAACAAAGAAATCTGGACAAGCTAAAACAAAAACATAGGGATTAAGGGTGATAACAAAGGTTAGTGTTTCTATGACAGAAAAGATTGAGTTCAAAGTGTTGAAACCTTTGCTGAGCTTTGTGATGAGGGTGTGTGTAGACACAATGAGATTAAGGGATGATTCATTCTGCCTGGAGAACAAAGCAGCAGGCAACACCTGCTGATTATTCAACAAGAGCAGCGGCTGGAGGAACACGTACCATTCTCCTTCACTATTTTTAAATGCCGGATAAAAGAATCCCTCTGTACTTCTTCTGTTTATTTATGATGAATCAATCTGGACTCTTATAGTTTAGTTTCTTAGAAAACTAAACAAGAATATTACTTGAAAGGATGCAGAGCTGTAATCATTCATTCAATCTCTGAGCCCATAATTACTTATTTTCCACCAATCTTGCTCCTTTGGGGAAAAAGCTTCGCTGTTCCCTGTAGTTGAGAAGCCACCCGGTTATTAGAGTCATGGCTTCCTGCTGCCAGCTGGAGGGGGCCCAGACCCAGGCTCCTGCTGCTGGACTCTGGCTCTCTGGGTTAGGACGGGTCTTAAACAGGCCCATGTGTGTGTGGCTTCATGGCACACAGGGACCCACAGATATAGAGATATGCCCGCACGCATGCAAGGCTAGGGTATACAAAAGTCTCATTAAGGACAAGACTGCAATAAACACAAGGAGCCCCAAAGGGAAGCAGTATGACTCATTAACTGCAGCTCAGAGAGGAGGAACAGATAAGATCAGTGAATTAAAACCAAACAAATGGCAATATGGAATATTAAACACGTACTGTGCCCCCGACAAGCCAAAACTAACCCCTCACTCTAATAGCATGTCTACTAGTCTGAGTATAAATCCCCTTGGGGAATATACTGTATGGTGAAATACGTTCGATGGACTGGGACAAATGGAGCCACAGCTTCTTTATTAAAGGGGCCCTATGCTCATTTTCAGGTTCATATTAGTATTTAGTGTCTCTACTGTGACATGTTTATATGCTTAAATGTTCAAAAAGCTCTTTATTGTTCTCATACTGCCTGTGCTGCAGCACCTCTTTTCACCCTCTGTCTGACACCAGAGTCCAGTCTGCTCAGATTGGTTAGCTGGCTGGCTCTGTTCTGATTGGTCAACGGCCTAGAGATGCGTACAATGTTTTGGAACGCTTGCCAAAAGAAGCACAATTGTTACATAGTGATGTCACTATGTTACATAAGTTAACAATGGAGTCCAATAGAGACCTTTCAAGTTAGCCTTTACAGACCATGCACACAAATGTATATAACGCACTCCAGGATAGGGCATAGCACAACAGGGCCCCTTTAAACCAGATATATCCTACTATCCAAGGAAGCTTCTGTGCTTAAATGATCAATCATATTGCATTCAGAACAAGAATGTCACTTGGAGAGAGACCACCCACCGTCAAAGCCTGTGTTGCATTGACATGTTCCTCGGATGGTCCCACTTACCGAGTTAGGAAGTCGTTTGTTTTGACTTCAATGTGTTCATTAGCTTTACTGTAAGTCGTAATGTGGAAACAACAAGGATGAAACAAAGAAGTTCAGGCGGGTTGTTTTTCTGTAACCAATTCCGAAAACATAACGTCATGGCGGTGGTAGCAATCATGTATTACATTAAATATGAAAACCAAGAAGCTAATTGGATTACGTAACTACTCAATTAGCTGAGTTTCTGTGGACAAGCAAGCAATTCAGATCACTGGGGACAGTTTAAACATGGATATTGTTATGTAACTAAGACTCAAAAACATAGGATTGTCCATTCCAGTTGCGGACCCAGTGGTTGGGTAGCTGTACTCTCAGTGCCACTATAATCAAAAGCACTTTTCAATAAGCTTAAGTTTCCATTCGTCCAGTAGGCAGAGTTTTGATTGACATTGCTTAGCAACCAGAACTTGGTTCAAAGAAGGTAAAACTGACTCATCCGCCACGACTGAAGCTCCAGACGCCTGAATCCTTCAAGATCACTGCATGCAGCAACTCTGCTAAACTGCTTGAAATATTTATTTTAACAGCTCCATGTGCTGTTTGCATGAAAATGACAATAGCAGACTGCAAAAAGGAAGAGGGCAGATGGTTCACTGACGGCTATTATTATCATACCTGTCTGACACAGCCTTCATAAATTCATCCAGCAGGTCATCATACGCCCGGCCTCGCACTCTCTCATGTCTCAGGCCAATGTAGAGAGGGTCCTTCAGCAGCACCTGCAGACACACATGGAGGTGAAGGAGAGAATATGAGACATCTAAGCTTTAATATTTTTCTTTTTACATACAGTACACCCCAAGTACGGAAGGGCCAAGCATAAAGGGGAAAATAACGAGGACCTTTTTTAGATTTTCTAGAAGAAAGTTGCATTATTAAGTTTGAAATTGAAATACCATTTGAATTATAAAGTTGAAATGTCGATAATAAATTAAATTCCGTTGGTCCTTTAAATCAAGTGAGGGGAGCAACGCGCCCTGTTGAGTGTAAATCCTTCAATTTGTGTGGTCAGTCCTTGTGAATAGATAGAAGCAATTAAAACCACACTGTGTCTATTCCAAACAAATAAATGACTTCATTTTTTATTAAAAGAGATCCTTAAGTACAGTTTCTCCTTTAGACAAGGCATTTTCTTAAAGGCTGCCTTAAGCGCGAGAAGTTTTATTTTATTTTCAAAATTTGAATTTATTATCAATGCACACAATTAAATGCTTTTATTTTTCCTTTTTGGCCCTGGCTCTTAGAGTTTTTTGGTTTTAAAGGAGTTCCCCTTATAAAACATTGACTCGTGGTAGGTCTGTAATGTGAAGTCAACTATAAACAGCACACTCTTTGTAAAACTGTGAGCCCTTACATGAATTAAGACTTTAATAAGAACCTTTGTGTTATTTAATAAAAATACTTCTATTCTGGAAAATAACTAAAATATGAGTAGGAGATTGAAGAACTGTAAATTAAAGTGTTTCCAAAAGGTCTGTAGGCTACACTGTACTCCAACAATTTAAGATGAATTTCCATAAAGTTGGGGGGCTTTAAAGAGACTAGTAAATCTTTATAGCAGAAGTGAAAATATCCTGACCTAGTACTGTATGTGCCAAGAACCAAAACACAGGATCCTATACTTCCCAAAATGCAAATGTACAGTTTTAGTGAGTTTAAAAACATTTTATAGGATGAAACATCAGGGGAATAAAAAAATGATAAGGTAATATTGAGTGCAGTATTTCCAAAAATAGAGTATATAAAAATCTGAAGTATAAAGTCAGGGAATATGTGAGACTATGTATGTGAATTATGCCCAGTGCTGACATGTGCTGTGCCTGTGTGTGAAAATAAAATAGAGAGGAGAGATATTACAGTGTGTGAGCACACCCTCACACACACAGACACATGTGTAGACCTCAGACGTCTGCCATGTGTGTGTGTGTACTACAGCGCTGAGAGACACCTCCTGTCACGTCAGTTCACACACACATCTGCAGCTACATCTCCATGCCCACGGAGTTCTAACCAAGCTAAAATAATTAACATTTTGGACATTTTCAAGTAAATACCATTATAGCCAGAAATGATTTTTTATAATAAATACCATGGTAGTCCATTAAATGGTAGTTGAGATGCTTCATCATAGTGCTAGAGGAAAAGTGAGTGGTTATCACTTACATTTAAGGATTATTTACAGTGGATGATGAATGTCTTTACAAACTTGTGTGGCAATCCATCAAGTACTGTCAATGTTTAGACACTTAAATTAATTACAACTTAAACTTCCTGGTGGATGTTTAGGAGAAGGTCAGATGATAGCTAAAGTAAGGTTCATCCTCTGAGAACAGTGAACGTTGGAATAATATTTATGAAAATCCATCCATTACTTGTTGAGATATTTCCATCTGTACGAAAGTAGTCATTCTCTGGTCTTTCTCTGAAATGATTAAGTTTTTTGTTAGAATTTCTTTATTTTTAACAACTCAAGGTAATAGTTTGGCTTATGCAAAACGTATTGCTAACTGCACTGATGTGAGAACAGAAGAAAGAATTAGCCAATGTTCAAAAAGCTCCTGGAGTAGAATACATTAGAGTGAAGAATGTAAATACGGGACATGTGTGTGTATAGAAGCCAGAGGGAACCAGGCTTTACATATATCCAAATGAAGATTGTGAAGGAGATGAAAGAGCAGCAGTAGTGAACTTTGACCTTTTGCACCTTCATATTTGGAAGAATGAGAGCGATTCAGCGGGGGCAGGAGAACATGAAGAACAGAGGTTGATGGGAAGCCATGTGTGTGACAAAGACACATGGAAAATGAAAGAGTGAGAATGGGATGAATTACATGGAAGTAGATGGCACCTTACAGTGATCAATTGCTTGCTGACTTTGCTTTCGTCTATCAGCACATATTTCATCAGATCTTTAAAATGATGCACCTTCCAGAACAAGCTGTAGGTTCCCACCCTAGACAGTCTTTTAAATCTCAACTTTGCCTTCCAGGGTTTTTCAATTCCAAGACGTTGGGAACTGCTCCATTGCGTTGCCATGCCCCATTGGGACAGGCGACCTTTACTTCTGGAGATGGATAATTAGAGGGTGCCACTAAGATGAGCGCTGCAGCCTCCTTTCCATGGCAGGGTCAAGACTCGCCATATCCAAGAACAGCTCAGAACGTTTATATAAGGCAATATTTATTTGAAGTTGACAACTCATTTCCTGGCAAGCTCCAAATGGACAGTAATAGGCTCGGGGTGGCCAAGTTCAACAGTAACCAAAACAAGCAAAACATTTTCATGTGATCCCGCTGAGAGGTGGGGTGATATCAGGGAGCGCTTCTGGTGGTCATTTCTCAAGATGATGCAAGAGCATGGAAAAATATCAGGGGAATGATAAAAATGATATGATAAAAATAGATATAAAATAAAAAAAATAGTTTAATTTCTCATTTGGAGTTTCGACTCATGTGTATATTAAGTTCGATGGTGACTTTATGTGCCATTATTCAGTTGAGGTACATACTGACAAAACTGCCTTTGAAACTTTGACCCAACAACCCACTGGCAGATTTGAAAGGCATGTTAACTAAAAAAAAAAGGCCAATATTACATTATTTATTATAGCCAGAAACTGTAAAACACACAAGTGTATCCTTGGATGTTCTGAAAGTTCTTGAAAGAAAATTCTGCGCTTCTTTGTACAACTGGGATGCCATGACTGACTCGACTTAGACCATAACTTAGTGACATTTCGATTGAACTGCAGGCTACTTCCTGCAATGAAAACCCCATTTGCAAATCCCATTTTGTTCAATATTAGCAACATTTGTAAAGATGTTTTTGTAAGTATATTTACTTTGTAAGCATTCCAACTCAATGCTTTATTTTTTCCCAGATTTTTGCCACTTTAACAATTTAAACTGCAAAAAATCATATTTAATTTATTTCGACTTCTTGCCATGATTGTGCTGTTCCTATAGAGCAGGGGTGTCAAACTCAATTTCATCATGGACCACATTAGCGTTATGTCTGCACTCAAAGGGCCGGTTACTTGTAACTATATAAATATATAATATATATAACATAATGTATTATATTACATTATTGCCTCTGCATTGGATTATTATCGGGTAGGGTAATAACTTCGTAATTAACTACGTCTGAAAGCAGAAGTCCAGGGCAAATAATTGCAAGTCTCTTCAGTGCGCATGTCACAAAAGGAAATGCATTGTGGGACATGTAGTTTATGGGCAATGTGATTCTGTAAAGTAGCATGTAACCGTATATTAAACGTATTATATTATTTGCAAGCTCTTATATCATACATAAAATGAAGTAGAGGGCCGGATTTGGCCCCCGGGCCTTGAGTTTGACACCCCTGCTATAGAGATACAGGACTTACATATTGCAGAGCTAACAAGGCCATCAAAATGTGACAGGAGCAAAAAGCACCCTGAAACTGGGGTTCATAGGTGAAATGGAAGAAACTGCATCATAAGAGACTTGTATAGTCTGAGGTAGTCTCAGTGACATTGTGCTGAACTGTTGACACAAGTTGTCTCTCTGTCCCAGATTACCCTCTGTTGATTGGTTAAACTGTCCTTTGTGTTGTACAGCCCTTTTCTCTCAGAAGGGATTAGCACTTGTGTATGGCTCTACAGACACAGAAGCTCTGTATTCACTGTTGCAACTGTCTCCAACTGATGAATGTCGGACTGCAGAAAATAATATAAAGTTATATTTGACTCCTTTGTTGTGCTATGTTTAATTAGTATAGCATGCAGCGTCAGTATTAAAACGGGGACTGTTACAGTACATTTATGAAGACATTTTGGAAGACCAGGGATCTAGAACAGTGTGAACCCGTCTGAGCTAAAGGACACCGTGCATTGGACATGTGAAAGCCCACCCACGACAGATGTACAAACAGCAAATTGTCCAGTATGACATCATTGAATCACATTTCAACAAGAGAGTGTTTGTTGAGGTTATGCCAGGTGATATCAAGTCCAGGGATACACTGACAGATACTGTACAGGAAGATTACATGACGTGAAAACTGAACTCCCTGAGTCTTAGAGACTCTTCTACTGCTGATTTGTCTGTATATATTGTGTGTTTTGTGCAGGATAGCTGTCCAGGTAGTGATATGTTATTGCTGGTTCTCACACAAGATAACAGTTTCCACATTCCTTTGCCAAAAAATAACAGACAATCACATGGTGGATCACTTTCTATATACGTAGCTAAAACAGAGCTACTCATGATCGGACAAAACATTAAGGAGTAGCTTGACAATGTGTGAAATATGCTAATTCATTTTCCTGCAAAGAGTTATATGGGAAAAGCAAATAAATGTATTTCTAAAAATGTTAAACTATTTATAATGAAAAACAAAACAAAGTGAGAGGGGTCTGCATGCTCCACTGTTTGGACGTCAGCCTGCCCGCCTCTGTCTACCCCCATATCAACTCAAGGACAAATATAATCCCATAATAACGGTCATTTTAATAATTAGCTTGGGCTACCACTACCACATAACCTCTCAATGCTCCCACCATGCCTTCACAGTCAAAGTGAGGCGAGGTACCGAGGGGCAGCAGGCTAGAATGCCTCCCATATGAATTCAGAAGAACCTCACATAATAAACACACACAGTCTATTTGCCCCATTACAAATAATTGAGCCTGTCATCTCTTTATAATAATGGAAAAGTTGGCTAGAGTCAAGCAATTTTACAATTAAATCTCTTTTAAATTATTTCCTTAAAAAAAATATAAAGGCAGCAATTCAACTGCATGCGTGTGTCATCGCTTTCGGCAAATTTGTCACTGTGTATATGATTTCTGTCAAGGACTGATCGACGTCTAGTAAATGGGAAACATATCTCCTTCTTTCCAAGAGTTTAGAAGCTCCATACACATAAGGTCTCAAGTCCAGTAAACTCTAAACGAAGATATGGAATGGATGAAGAGTCTGTAGTCAATGGGACAAGGTTTTGGTATTCAAAGGGTTCTGGTTTCCTTTTGTATTTTGAGTAGTATCAACCAATCACATTTCGATGGGCTTTGGTTGCTTGAAGGTGAACCGAAGAGAGGTGGAACACATTGGCCGAAGTGCAATCTCAGAACCCTTAGCTAGTGCTTGACGATGATTTTGCTTTCATTAGCTAATAACAAACTGGCAAAAATATCTTAATAGGCCTATCATTGGCAAACATGAGCAAGCACGCTTAGAATGGTCAAGGTTGGATTTTCCTATAATAGGGGCACACACACACACACAAAGCCCTGCCTGCACCAAGCATACATGTAGCGACTTGTTACTGGAAACAAGTCGCATTAAGCACAGGGATAGAAGGAGAGTTTTCTTGAAACAGAACACTTAATCAGTCAACTTTGGCTAGTTTGTGAGTTACAAGGTTCTGCCGATGATTAAACGATTTACAATGTGTTCATTTTTAGGTTGAGTCAAGAACCAACATTTGAGCTTCGGACAGAACCACGCTAGCGGATTTTCCTGCTATGCTAGGCTGATCTCTACTCAATTAATCAATGTATGCTGAAATATTCCGATGACTAACTGTTTTTTAAGTTGTGAAGTACAATAGTGCAAACTCACCGCATCAGACTCCACAAGCTCTGCATCAATGTTCAATGACACACACACACACACACACACACACACACACACACACACACA